GTTCATTTTGTATGATAAAGAGAGCTTTCCATCTGATTTGTTAGTCTTGACTCGTTTGCTAGCCCTGAAATAGTTTTAAGTTTTTGGTTTTTTTTAAAGAAAGCATTTAAAATAAGGATTCTGAGCCCCATTCAACTGAGCCATCGAGATCTTGGTCTTTACAGGGTGTTACCAGAGTAGATTTTTGTCTCCTTGTACTTAATTATTGCAAGGGTGGTGATAAAGAGGTTAGTCTTAAGAAATCTAAACAACATAAAAAATGCTCTCACAACATAAGAGGACGTTTCATGTAGGAGAAAGAATGCAGATTTTGTGTCAGTGTTGAGTTTAGATAGCAGCATAGCTACATACATACTGGTCAGTTGCCCTTGGACGTATCACTTAATCTTAATAAATTGTGGGTCCTTTTTTTTTCCCCCAACCTTTGCAAGAGACATATGAAACAATGGCACATTTTAATTCTTTCTGAACCTTGGTCCTGGTGAGATAAGATCTTTGGGTTTCCCCATGGTAGCTTCAGGAAGTATTTAATGTTTTTATGGTTTCCCCAGTAATTTGAAGATGTGGCAATATTGTTATTCTTTGTAAGGTCAGAATTCCTGCATGTTTATGACCCAGGTTTGCGTAACAAAAGAGTTACATTTTATAGGAGGATATAAAGCTCTTTAAATATTGCTATATATCAGAGTCTGAATTAACTCGTGGTATTATGCAAAAAAGTCAGTTTTCTAATGGTGCACTTGAGGATTTCTGCCCCTTTGGGGACTCTATACATCCATTATGGAAGACCCTATTACGCAGTATAAAATAAGAGACAAAAGCCAATAGGAGAGGTATCTCTGTGTACACAGGAGAAACTCCTACTAGACATGGGCCTTGGTCAAAGTGCAGCTGCTTATGTTTCATCAGTCTAAACTTTGACAAGTTTATTGTTTCTCAGCTTTGGCTCCTCTAGAGTGAGATCATGGGGTTTACATTGGTCATAAATCCAATCACCTTTTCTTTCCTAAAATAATAGCAAAGAATAATTAGTTACATGTATTGAAGGGGCTGTAGAATTTCATGCTTTTTATTTTCCTATAAGTTCACCAGCTAGACTATTCTTAGGAACACGATAAGCTGAATTTTTAATTACTGTTTTATGATTTTTTTTTCTTAATTATATCTCCTTGGTTTGTATATTTTTATTCTGTTATCTGTAATTTTATCTGTAATTTGACATTTCTAAGAATCAGAGTGATAAAATTCTTAATTAACACTTTTCCAGATTAGCATTTATATGAACTCTTAGTCATCACTTTTTAAAATAATGCACACTGCTTTAATCTTCATTCAACTCAGCACATTTATTGAGCCCTGCTATATAGCAAGCACTCTCCCAAGTGCACATCCTTCAAGAAGCTTAATATTCTAGTGGAAATAGAAATTGTTTTATAACATTCTGTGTCTTTTATTGCATGTTCAATACCCATGCCTTTTAATTGTACATAGCTCCTATTAGTATTTATGCAATGTATTTGTTATTCAGTATTTATTACAAAGAATTTACATGTTTTAGTATCATCCTTTTCATATATATCTTGAACAGAGATTGTTTTCAGAATTCTTGGCTACCAGATGCAGTCCTTTTGTGTACTGGATGTGTGTCCTTGTGCAAGTCCCTCCATTTTCTGGGTGCATAGGGAGGTATCAGTAATGCCAGCCTTGTTAATCATCTTAATGTTATTCCTCTTGTTAAGAGAGAAGTTTCACTCAACTATCACCTGCCAGTGAAATTACCTGCTTCTGCCTTATCTTTTCTCACTTCCTTTTATGGTAGAAGCAGTGTCTACATTGTTTCTTCCCACCAGCTGATGTATGACTATAACTCTTCTGTGATCCCTTAGCACATCTTCAGCTATTCTATTTATATTTAAACACGTGTGTTTCTTCCTCTTGAAAAAACAAAAACTCATATCCATCCAGTTGCATTTGTGCTTTCTTCCCTGTACACAACTAAATTTGTCTGTTTCCTTACCTCCTATTCACTATTCCTTCGTCATGCCACTGGCACTGCTCTTGCCAATGTCACCAGTAATCTCCTTATTGCTAATTCTACTGGATCTATAACCCTTATCTATAATTTCTTTTTAGGGGGTGAGTGGGTATTGATAGTCAGTAGGGCTGCAAGGACTTGAGGAGAAAGTTTGATGTTCTTAGAGCAAAAAATTCATTGACTCATTGACAAATATTTGTCAAGCACTGTTATACATTATTGAAGATACAGTAGTTAATAATATGAATAAAAGTTGGTATATCCATGCAGATATCTAGGGGAAGAGTAGGCCTGGCAAACTATTTATTTGGTCTTAGCAAAAATACTTTTTTTGTGGCATGAAATGTTTTTATAAAGATTCTTATTCTTGTGATAAAAAGGATGGCTGGATATTTGGGGGTATACCATTGCAAATTGACTTAGTAGGATAAAGCAGTATTTTTATAATTTAATTTTATAAATTAAATGAAGACAAAAATTCTAAAGTTACATTTTATTTCACATCTTCTTGGGCATCTAAATGGGGTTGCATGCTTTTATAGTTGGACAGTTTAGATAATGGCATCTTTATTCTATAAAGTGATGTAGATATTTTTTAAATAAGTGGAACATTAGCTGAGGTAACATAGTACAGCTCTATGAGACTCTTAACTTCATGAGGATTCAACAACTTTTTCAGGAGGAGAAATTTTAGCATTTATACTTACGTCATTTCAGCAAAATAATTGACCTTTTGAGAGCAGTAAAAATATACATTCTCCATATTATATTAAAAACCCTAATTTATTTTAAAGGAGAAAGAAGCCTAGAACAGATTTATGAGTTGACTCCAATATTTGGGAAGATTCGTGTGGTTCCAATGGAGGATTGAAAAGGAAGAGGAATAAGTTCTTACTGAGCTTGATAAGGACTTGATGTTTTGGAATAAGGTGCTTACATAGCAAGACTTGAATGGGGTTTTGCCTGTACTGTCTAGACCTGAGCAAATACTAGTGCTACTAACTAAAAAGCATGTATGTAGACAAAAAGAAGTGCTGAATTTACAGGAATTCTCATTTATGAGTATACGCACTTTCCACATTATTACCTCAGTGCTTTCATTCCTTTCCTGCTTGCCTAGGACCTATAGGAATTCTTCTCCCATCTCTAATAGATAATATTTTTGCTCCATCCAGCCAGTCTATGATCCTTTTTTATTGTGCATTCTAATTCCATTTCAGGAAAGTAAATGACAGGGTGTCATTTCATAACCATTTACGTGGGAATTTATCATGGGATGATTCAAGAAGAGCGAACTCAGATTTGAAATTTAAACAGCTATACAAAAAAATGATTTGAGCCTGGCCGGTGTGGCTCAGTGGTTGAGTGTCGACCCATGCATGCACAAGAGGTTGCTGGTTCAATTCTTGGTCAGGACACATGCCCAGGTTGTGGGCCAAATCCCCAGTGGGGGGCACGCAGGAGGTGGCCAGTCGATGTTCTCTCTCATCAATGTCTCTCTCTCTCTCTCTCCTCCCTTCCTCTCTCTCTAAAATCAGTAAAAAGAAAAATATATTTAAAAAAATTATTTGAGGGTTACTTTTAAAAAATAAGTCTTATTTCTGGCCATTTCCCCCTCACCAGTTTCAAAAATAATATTAGTTGATGGTTGTTTAATAATAGGAAAACCTAGCAAAGCACAGTTCTGTAATTTTGCCATCTAGAAATAAACAGTTACATTTTTATGTCTATCCTTACCATATGTTTTCAGTACACTCACATATTTAAACAATAACCCTCATACTGTACATAGTGTTTTACAGCTGACTTTAAAAAGTTGTTTTATGAAATATTTTCCATGTTATTAAATATTTTTCTAAAATATTTTCACTAGCTGCATTATAATCCATTATATTAAACAATATTTATTTAACCAATCCCTATCATTAGATGTTAGTTGGTTTTTCAGTTTTCGCCTTTATAAATTATACAGAAGTGAGAGCCTTGCATAACTCTTCTCAAAGAAAACTAATATTTATTGAATGCTCATATACCAGATACTGTGCTAGATGCCTTATAGTCTTATATTTCATAGAATCTTTAGCTGGTTTCATCCCAGTTTTATAGATGAAGAAATCTATGTGCATATGTCTGATATTTTGCAGTAAGGTAAATGTATGTAGCAAATATTTGAATGTTTTGTTTAGCAAATAAAAGGTTTTGATCGTTACAGGACACAATAAAAACTTACAGATGAAGTTTTTAATTTTATTTTGGTTTTGATGTATATATTATAATAAGACTTAATACCTTTGTGTTTTACCTAAAGTATTTAAGGTCTAAAAATCCTGTTAATAGGCATTCTTAGCTTAGGAGAAAAAACGTGGATGATTCCTCTGCAAATTTGGGTTTTAGTCATATGACCACTCTTATAGATGATTAATTTATAAATCACATTTTTCCATTCAGATAGAGTGGGAGGGAGAGAAAGAAACATCAATGTGAAAGGTACACATCGAGTGGCTGCCCACCCGCACGACCCAACCAGCGCTGGGGACAAACTGCAACCGAGATACGTGCCCTTAGCGGGAACCGAACCCGGGTCTCTCTGGACCACAGGCTGACGCTCTAACCGCTGAGCCAAACTGGCCAGGGCTATAAATCACATTTTTATCTTTAAATTTGAAGTGGGTGATAATTGTCTACTAGGTGAAAATGGTTTCCCGTCACTTAAAATTTCAGGCATAGCTTTTTCAAATCCTGCACTTGTAAGATCTAAGAAGTGAAAGTTGTGTGATACAAGGATATAAAAAATGTTGCAGAGAAAGGGCAGGAGCAGTGAGATTTCATGACTAAATGCTTTTGCCGAGCTGGTTTAGACACCTTTGCCATTAGCCCATATAATCTACCCTACTTTGATAAAGTGGTATTGTTGTTTTTAGGACCTGGTATTTGTTATCTAATGCACTGGCTTGTTTTATCTCAGTCACATCGATCAGACAACAACATGGCAGGACCCCAGGAAGGCTATGCTCTCCCAGATGAATGTTACAGCCCCTACCAGCCCGCCAGTGCAGCAGAATATGATGAACTCAGCCTCAGGTGAGTGAGATGCTGTAATTAGACCATATCGAATAACGTTTGTGCGTAGGTAAAACTTCTATGGAAAATAGTAATTATTCTTCTAAGAAAACTGGATCATGAATGATGGTTATTTTCTATCCAATTTCATAGGGGAGACTTACTTTATTGGAAAATAACAATGCTATTTGCCAGAGCATTGTTTAGTCATTAATACATAAAGAGGCTGGTGACTAAAAGCCAACAGTTTCAGTTCTGAAGTGAGTATCTCAAATTCCTAGTTTGGTTAGTTTTGACATGCTTGTGTTTTCTTCCTACTTTCTGTGTCTAAGGACTTAGAGTTGAAGGTTTCCCCCCTTTTGTGGTTTGGATGGGAAACCAAGCTATGATATTCCTAACCCCCTAGCTTTTAAAACAGATATTTGTTCTACCTTGAGATTAACTGGAAGATAGTAATTTATAAACCCCAAGGCATCTTTCTTAGGTCTAGTAGGTGTTATTGAACACATTGCCACCTTTCACAGGAGATGAACCTGAGTAAAAATCTTTTTTTTTGCCTCTTATTTGGCAATTTACTTATATCTGCCATTTTCCTCATCTACATAATAAAGATGACAATGCCCCTTCCTATAGCGAGGAAGATATTAAAGGAAATGATACAATATATATAAAGCTTTTATTGCAGTTCTAATACATAGTAGGTAGTAACTAAAGGCTTAGTTCCTTCTTCCCTAGTAAGTTAGGTACTGTCTGGCTTCTTTCTTCTTTTTTATGTGTGCCTAAGTCCATAGCTACCCCATTATGCATCTTTGTGCGTATTAGAAAAAGGTGCCCTTTTCTCTGGGGAGATGCAACCCCAATGCATGGCATCAAAGACTGGAGCATGTGGGCTGGATTTCTGGCCATTCCCCTTGCCTCCCACACTTTATTCCTTTTGCTTAGTGCCTTGATTCAAGACACAGCTGGTAACAGTAATTGGCAGTCCTAGTGGCCTTGATGGCTTTCTTCCTCACAACTCACTGACCAACATAACATTATAGCTGCACTATAGATTTTTTTAAACCGCAGCAGCCTTTGGAAAGGGATTGGTGGAGGTGGGGAGGGTAGGTAGTACAGTTAGGTGACAAGAGGATTCCTTGGCTTGAGCGTTTGCAGAATTTGAAATGTCTTTGCCCCTGAAGATGATGGCAGTGTGTTGGAATGTTTCTACTGTTCTGCCACTCTCTGCTCCTCCTTTTGGTGGGTTAAATACTTTTCTAAAGTGTTAAAGCTGAAAATGAAAATCTAGGCAAGATTCATGAGTGAGCTTTTCTTGTCATAAACTCTATTTATATAAACTCTTGAAATAAGATTAGTTCCTTAAATCTTCCGTTTTAGCTTATTTTAATAAGAATTCATTTACTCATTTTGAGAATTTGCTCTATGTGTGGCATTTAATTTAAATTTAAAAAATTTAAAGGCAAAAATAAAGCAAGTTGACTGATATTTTTACTTGGAAACCTTTTTTTTTTTAATTATCAAATTTACAAATACAAGTTGTGAAAGCTGCCTTGTATTTATAGTTCAAAGAATAAGATTGAGATTATTTATTTTGTGATGCTCCATCTAAAACTATCATAGGAAATTAATAATAAATAACTTTAAATTTTATTTTGGGAGATTAGGCATTTTGCATCTAGGATGGTTAATTGTGAGTCTTTTGGAACACTGATGTTTTTTTTCCTATTAAATTTTCAAATGGTAATGGTCAGTGAAAATGGAAATCTTTATTCAAACTTAAGTTTAAAATCAGAAGTATGTATCAAATTGGTTTTAAGGGGGGTTTAGAATTTTTGTGTAGATTTTATTTCAGCTTTGTATTTTATTTGTAAAATATGAAATGTGTTTTTATATACTGCATATAAATTAGGCGTGCTTAACTAATAGGTGTATTTTTTTTTTTTATCCTCACCCGAGGACATTTTCCCATCTTTCTGTTCAGGTAGAGTGGGAGGGAGAGAGGGGAACAGAGAGAGAGAGAGAAACATCGATGTGAAAGGAACACATCGAGTGGCTGCCACCCGCACGACCGACCAGGGCCGGGGACAAACTGCAACCGAGGTACGTGCCCTTAGCGGGAACTGAACCCGGGTCTCTCGGGACCGCAGGCCGACGCTCTAACCGCTGAGCCAAACCGGCCAGGGCACTAATAGGTGTATTTTAAAAATTAATTTATTTTCCAGTTACAGATGACATACAGTTTTATATTAGTTTCAGGTGTACAGCATAGTGATTAGACACTTATACACCTTATGAAGTGATCACCCCAATAAGTTTAGTACCCATCTGACATCATACATTGTTATTACAATATGATTGACTATATTCCCTATGTTCTTTTTACATCCTCCTGACTAATAACTGGCAATTTATACTTTGTAATCCCTTTCACCTTTTTCACCCATTCCCATAGCCTGTCTCCCACCTGGAACAGCTGTATGTAGTAAAGAGAGGTGCCTTTGGCAGGAACAGTTTGAGTAGAGTGGAAAGAAGCATGATAGTAGTGGGTTAGGAGTGAAGAGAAGGTTGGAGATGGAGTTGGAGGAAGGACCTGAAATAGGAAAAACCACTCCCAAAGAGACTTGAGCGTGTTTAAATAGTAGTGGGATATATTAAATAATAATAAGCCTTATTTATATACCAGGCATTCTGCTAAACTTATTTTATTCTATCTCATTTAGTTCTCATAATGGCCATTTAAGTTAGATGATGTTGTTAGTCTTGCTTCACATACGAGAAAATGAGTAACTTTCCCCAGATTACACAACTTTTTTTTTTTTTTTTTACAACCACACCCGAGGACATTGTCCCATTTTTTGTTCAGATAGAGTGGGAGGGAGAGAAGAAGAGAAAGAGAAACATCAATGTGAAAGGGACACGTTGAGTGGCTGCCCCCACACAACCCAACCAGGGCTGGCGACAAACTGCAACCGAGGTACATGCCCCTATCGGGAACCGAACCTGGGTCTCTCTGGACCGCAGGCCAACGCTCCAACTGCTGAGCCAAACCGGCCAGGGCAGATTACACAACTTTTAAATGGTAGAATTCAGGAATCAGACTCTGGTAGTGGGGTTCCAGAGCCCATGCTTTTAGTCTACATGTGACCAGGGTTAGGATAAGTGACAGAGAGTAAAACCTCAGAAAACAGGATCTGTTAATTCACTGGAGGCGCTATTTTTAAATGTGAGTAGATAGATATACTGGAGAACTCTTTCTGCAGAAGGTGGTGGATTGTGGGGGTGATGTTTGCTTAAGGAGATTTTGTATCTAATAAAATGAACGCTGAACCTTAAAGAAGAAAGAATATTTAAAAAGGACTCTAGAAGTAATTGTCTTTAATGGTTTAATGGGAGATCAGACAGTATGATGAGTTAAGAAAGGAAAAGCCCTGACTGGTGTGGCTCAGTTGGTTGATTGTCATCCGGTGCAGTGGAAAGGTTGCTGGTTCGATTCCTGGACAGGGGTACATGCCCAAGTTTTGGGTTTGATTTCCTATTGGGATGCTTACAGGAGGCAATCGATTTATGGTTCTTTCACCCTTTCCCTTCTTCTCTCTGGTATGGTGAAACCAAAAAGCTTAAAAAAAAACAAAAAACAAAAAACTGAAACTGACTGTAAAAAAGAAAATGAGTCAGCAGAAGTTTCAAAATGAGAGTAAGGTGTTAAGTATATATGAAAATTCAAGATGGATTCTAAATTGTTCACAAATACAAATGGGGGCTTATCTACCAGATCAAGTTGAAGCTATTGATAACATCTTTATAGTAAATGCCTCTTTTTACTCTGAATTATATGCATGAGATTGTTGTCTTTCATTTTTTCCATTTCAGTGGACATTTAAGAATAGAGGACTTCTACATGGTGTTGATACTTTGGAATCAATGTCACAGAATCTGTAATCTTGATATACTTCATGTTCACATAAAATTATAGCCAGAATGTCATGTTAAGGTTTCAACCTAGGGGCTTTCTCCATCTGGAAAGCGCCCACAGTGCTTGCTGGCTGTGCATTCTCCAGTAACATACATACACAGCATGCTTTCTCAAAGAGCTGGGAGAGAGGACCATCTCTCAGTCGGGACTTTCTACTTGAGAAAAGCTGCAAACGTGATGCTTGTCTGTGCTTGGAAAATAATCTTTCAAGGAGTGTTTAGAACCTGAAGATAGTGAGGAAGATTTATGAGGGTATTTAAAATTTGAAGGCATTTATTATAACAAAGCAGCACAAGGCTTCCAGTTACGCAGAGTATCTAACAATTTTCATCCTGCAGGGAATGCCTTCTGAATCTGCTAATCTGAAGCCCTCAGATAAAAGAAAGCTACACAGCTCTTTTGAAGCATTTTACTGAGTTAATTAAACTAAATGCAGCTTGATTTACTTTATTTTTTTTTAAAGAAAGAAAAGGAAGGAAGGAAAGAGGGGGGAGAGAAAGGGAGGGAAAGAGAGAGGGAAGAAAGAAGGGGAAGGAGGAAGGAAGACAGAAAGAAGTGATTTACATTTTTATCATTAATTAAATTAGAACTTTCTAGTTCTGCTTTTTTTTTTTTATCCTCACCCAAGATGGACTTCCTTCCTTCCTTCCTTCCTTCCTTCCTTCCTTCCTTCCTTCCTTCCTTCCTTCCTTCCTTCCTTCCTTCCTTTCCTCCTTCCTTCCTTTTTTGTTCAGATACAGTGGGGGGGGGGGGACATCCATGCAAGGGACACATCCAGTGGTTGCCATCCACACGACCCAACCAGGGCCGGGGACAAACTGCAACCAAGGTACATGCCCCTAGTGGGAACCAAACCCAGGTCTCTCTGGACCTCAGGCGACACTCTAACCTAACCGCTGAGCCAAAATGGCCAGGGCTAGTTCTACTTTTTAAAGAAGAATTCTCATTCAGATACTTGAGTCCAGCATTGTGCTCTGCTCTCATTATTTCTGATAGATCACTCTCCTTAAAACACTGTCATTTTTCTCTAGACTCTCCAGACCTACTT